TAGGAATGGGTTAAGGGAGGCACTTGGAGTTTCCTGTCCAACTGCTGCCCTGACCAGGGCTAATTCCAGAGCTGAGTGAGGTGCTCAGGGCCTATCCAGGTGAGTGCTGAGTATCTCTAAGGATGGAGATGCCACCACCTCCCTGAGATCCATCCCGAGGCTGCAATAGTCCTGTGGGAAGCAGCATTCTCCAAAGGTCTGGTGGGARTTTCTCTCATTGCAACTTACATTCCTTTTCTTTCACCTTTTCTCCTTGCGTCTCTTTGTGGGCGCTGCCTCCATCTTCTCYGTAACCCCCTTCAGGTGGCTGAAGACAGTGATTAGCTCAGGGCTGCAGCCCCCTGGCCACACAGAGCCGTGCCTGTGCCCAGGTTCATGCATCCCTCAGGGCCRCACCAGCTCTGAGGCCTCTGCGCCCTACTCCGTGCCACATCAAGGGTGGGAGCGTGGGGCTTTCTGCGCTGTGGTCTGTGTGGCATGGCTATAGARACTCCTTTGCCTTCTCTCTCTTTGCCCCTTTTAGCAAGCTGACGAGGGAGAGCGGCACGGATTTCCCCATTCCTGTCATCCCCGCAGTGCCAGACTCGGAGACAGAGAAGCTCATCCGGGAGAAGGACGAGGAGGTGAGTGCGGGGCAGGCTGGGAGGGCAAGGACAGATGATCTGAGACCCAGTGGCTCTTCAAACACCCCCTGGGGGACAACGTCCCTGTGCCCTGTCCTGGTGGCGCGGTTGAGATGGAAGAGCCTTTCTGTGGCATCCTGCCAGTGACTGCTCCTTCAACCATTAAGTTGGGGTGAGGAGAAAGTCACTGGAGAGGGATTTGAGATTTTCACCTAAAACAGAGCTTCTCTTGATCCAAATCTGCTTGGGATGTTGCCTCGGGATATGTTTGAGAGGGAGCTGGCATTGCCTGGGTGATGCTCACAGGGGGGCTGACCATGGAAATGCCAYGTTCTCATTGCTCCTCTCCCTTCCAGCTGCGGCGCATGCAGGAGATGCTCCAGAAGATCCAGAAGCAGATGAAGGACTCTCACTAGCCCTCTCCTCCTCGTCCTCCTCCTCCTCCTCCAACCCTGCCCCACTCAGAGACCAGAAATGTTTACATCACGCTACATCCTGTGCAAGCCAAGCTAGAAAACTCAGTACCAACAACACACCTATCACCTTAAGCTGCTGCAGTTATCGCCTTATCGAATCTTGCAAAGCTTGTCCTCTGGGGACGTCAAAGAGACAGGGTTTCATTCGTCCCGGGTGCTGGCCGGCGCGTGCCCTGGCCCTCCCTCCATCACTCCGTGTCCTGCCCGTGTCCCTGTGCTGTGTGCCGCTCTCCTCCCGTCCCCGCTGCCTCGGCTTTCKCTCTGTTTTCTCGTGGAGCTCGTGGCCCGCTGTGTGCTCTCTGCTCCCYCGGTGTCCCAAGATACAATGGTTTAAGGGAAGGTAGCCCAAGGGCCAAAGTGAGAGACCCCAAACCCTCAGGCTGGTGTCCTGCTACTGGAGAGCAAGGTTCCTCCRTGGGAACCTGTGCATGGATGTTCTGCAGGGTCCCCTCCAGTGCAGCAACCCCCTTGAGCAACGGTGGAGAGGACAGCCCTTGCCATCGGGGCCCTGACAGGGTTCTTGGACTGGGGGACAGATCTCGGGAAGGGCCATCTGCCTGGCAGGGAGCAAGATAGAACCAGCACCATCCCCGGGGCTGGAGCGGTGGCTGTTCATGGGGATACGTTGGGCAGGGGCCTCCCCAGCCAACAGGGTGCYGTGGGTGCAGCCTGGACCTGCACCCGTCCTTCCCTGGGTGTTTCAGCCTCTGGGGCTACCTGCCTTCTTGTCCTGTCCCYGTGTAACCCAAGGATGTCCCCAGTGTGGCTTCCCTTGCCAGCACTGCTGTGTCTGCTCGCCGGCGGCCCTGGGTTTGTGCCTCGCTGCGAGCGGCTGCAGGGCGCCCCGGCACCAGCGGCCCCGCGGGGCTGTGTCCTAGGAGCAAAGAAATCGATCCGGACACGAGGCCTCCGCTCCTCCCAGCTCCTGCCTGGTAACTGCGGAAGGCGAAAGGAGATGGAAAGGCTGTGGAGGCAGGAGCTGGGAGCAGTGGGATCACTGGGATTGCTCACATGGGAGGCCTTTACCCGTTCCCATCAGGGCCAGCATCGGGGCCGCCCGCCGCGCYGGGGAAACCTCCTGGGTAGCTGGGAGCAGCTGCCCGGGCCCAGCGATGTCCCAAGGCTCCACAGGTCTTGGCTTGAAGGTGACTGCGGTTATCCTGAGGATGAGCGTAGATGTCGCGGGGCATTTGGGGAAACGCCCAATGTCGCGCACGTGACCTGCGTTCCTGAGTCGGCTGCAAGCCTGGGGGGTCCCTTCTCCCACCGCGCTCGCGGGAAGGGACCCCCCAGGGCCTCTTAGTGCTTTCAAATTCCTTTTTTAATCTCGCTATTTTCTTACAGAAATACCTACCTTTGCATGACAGTCATAAATGCATTTATTAAGTATTATAAAGAGTATAGGTTTATAAATTCTTATAGATCTAGTGGAAATATTTTTATCCCTCCACAGAAGTTCTCAATAAATACGGCTGACTTGACTTGTCTGCAGTGTTTCTTTTCACTTCTGCACAACTGCCCACACACGTCACCCTCRGGCGGGTTTGCCAGGGCAGGTGGAGGGCAGAGGATGCGGAGGAAAAGGCCACTGCCCCCTTCCTTCTGACTGCCCGTTTCCTGGCGAGGTCCCAGGCCAGGCTCCTGGAGAGCCTGGACCTCCTCTCTTTGTGGGTGATGCACAGAAATCCATGGGGTTTCTTCTGCACCCAGAGCAGCCAGCGTTGCTGCTCTGGGTGGGATGGGGGATCATGGATGGGAGGCTGGAGATCCCCTGGCAGCCTGAACCCCAACCTGTGCTGGCTGAAAGGCAGCCACAGGMGGTGTGGGCACATTGGCACAGGGATGTGTGAACCACAGCTCTCCTCTCCTTGCAGCACGTACGCTGCAGTCCTCCGCCTGCACCCCAATATCCTTTTGCACCACAATATCCTTTAACCTGCTCCTGGGTATCCTCCACTCGGGCATCTTCCCCTCACATCTTTCTGTCTTTCAAGCTGCACCCTGCTAGCCAACCCCTGCACCCTGCTAGCCACCCCCTGCACCCCACTACCCAGTGCTCTCTGCTGAAGGAAATGCGAATGTGAGAAAACCTCCCCAAACGCACACAGAGAATAGGCGCCAAGGCCGGGTCGAGAGCGTCCGCCTCCCAAAGGACTGGCGGCAACGGGGTCATGGGTGTGACGCCGGGAAAGCAGCCCGGCCTCCAGCGYGGCTGGGAGCAGGACGGGCCGGGGAGGGACGGGCCGGTTCTCTGTCCCTGCAGGGCTTGAGGAGCAGCTGGGCAAAGAGCTGCTGGGACAGCGGGGGACACTCTCAGGTCCCCCTGYGCTCTGGGACACAGGAACCAGCAGGCACTTGGTGCAGCCGGTTGCCCTGTACAGGGGTGAAACAAGCTGCATAGAGGGGCCAGTGAGCACGGTGGCAAAGAAGAGCCAAAAGCTGCACGAGACACATTTCAGGGGCAAACCCACAGAGGCGCAAGCCCATGGACTGAGTTCTGCCCAGCCCACCCGGGTACACAGCACAGCTTGGCAGCTGGCAGAAAGACACAAGCCCATACACCTGGGCACATCCAGCCCAAAGCCCTTCCTTCATCCTCTGCACATTAACAGGACCCTGAGAACACTAATGAGCTTAATTGCCCTCAGCAGCCTCACCTGGATTCCCGCAATCCCTACCAAGGGCCCAGGAGACCTATTTAAGGTCCAGCCCAGAGCTTAGCTCTTGCTTGAGCTGTGTTGTATGTGTGCTTGCTCTTTGTTTTGTGCCCTTGTCTTGTTAACAGGAGTTTTCGGCATGATCTTTGCTTTGCCTCTGATGGCTGCAGGACTCCTCGTGGGATGTGCTGCTGCCATGGTCCTGCTGGGTGCCACAGGGATCATCCCTAACCTTGTAGACTGCCCTGCGTCCCCTGGGTGTGGGACACATGGGGCTGCTGTCCTTGGGGAGCCTTGTGTTTCCTCCCACCCTCAGAGCATCCTTGGATGCCCCACACTCCTCTCAGCCTGTCCTTGAGTTCTCCTGCTCCTGCATGACTGCATGCTGCTCCTGCAGCCCTTCTGATCTTTAATATTCCTGCCCGCATGCACTCTGCTCTGCAGGTACTTACTCCTCCTCAGTGGCCCTGCACAGATCCCTACACATGTACCCTGTTCCTCTTCATTCCCTTCTTAGTTCCCCCACARTCAGCTTTGTTCCCAGCTGCAGGGGCTTGGTTCCTCTTCATCCCCCTACTCTGTGTGCTCAGGTCCCCTCTGCTTCCCTGGTGCTTCTCGCATCATCTCTGCTCCCCCTGTGCTTCCTCACGTCCCCTCCGATTCACTCCATGGGTCCTTCTCTTCTCCTCTGTGCACTCTTGTGTTTCTTCCATTTGTCTTGTGCCATGATATGCAATCTCCTTTCTTCCCYGCTTCTCCTTTCACAATGCACCCTTAGAATCCCTTGATTCCTCCTCATTTCCCTCTGGATCCTCTCTGTTTCTCCAGTCCCCTCTGCTTTGGGCTCTGTAAGGCTTCCCGGGCTTGCTGTGCTTTCTGTACCACTCTGTTTTCTGTGCTCTGCTCCAAGTCGATCTTGCCCCTGTCCTGCCCTTGTGCCGTCCAACCCCCTCCATCYACTTCCTTTCACGAGGGCTGCAGGAGAGCAGGAGGATGTGACCTGTGCGGCCTTTCTCCTCCTGTCCCCCCGGGATCAGGCTGCCAGAAACTGCCMCCGAGCGCCTCCCGCAGACCTGACTCTGCTCCAAGGCCTCGCAGGGAACGGAGCCCAGAAAGGGCCTCTGCTTTTGGATGCTCCCCCGCAGCCAGCACTGCTGACTCAGGTCTGGATGCTCTTTCCTCTGCTGCTGCAGTTTGTTTGGCTTCTGCTTGTCCTCAGCACTGCTGGAGCGGGAGCTCGTGCCAGCCGCCGTCTTCCCTGGAGATAGGATCAAGCTGTTCAGGAGGTTAGTGCTGAGGTTTAGGCCRTTGCTCTCAGCCTTGTTTGTGTCTCTCAAATAACCTGGACCACAGGCTGTAGTGTCCATCACCAGCACAGCCCCAAACGCAYGCCAGTGCTATTTGTCCTGTCTAGCTCTACTGCAGAATTTGCTGAGTACTCGTGAGCGAGAGCTGTGTTGTCCTTGCTGCAATTCTGCCCTCATTCCCCCTCAATGCCTTGAGGGGGACCACAGCTTCCCACCTTCATTATAGGGAGCAAAGGAGGATCCAGGCGCTGGAGTAAATGTGGGRTGAGTTCCCCAAAGTAATGAGTGGACAAGGCTAAATCCAGGGACCCTGGGGGAGCRGGTCTAGCCCAGCCTCTTCTCCTGCCACTGGGACAGGCTCCTCCACACAGGAGAAGGGAACCCAGAAGCAGGCACCAGCTTTGAGCCTGCCTGGATAAAAGCTGGGCTCTCCTGCAGGCAGGGTGGCCAGGCTTGGTGGCTGTCCTGCTTGTGGTGCTCAGGGCTGCGCTGCAGCAGCAAGGGGCTCCAAGCTGCACGTGGAGGAGTTAAATTCACTTTCCTAGAGGTCTGCAGCTGTTGGAAAACTGGTCTCTTGCCAGTTTGGGCTCCTTTCTCMTTTCCAGGGGATTATAGTTGGGGGATCCTTGGCAGGATCCTTCCCTCCATCCTTCAGTGGCTACACCTTAATCCCACCTTATTCTTTACTTTACARAGGTCCTTAAACTCATCTGCAGCCAGTTATACCACTCTGTTTAGAGAGCAAAAAATCACCATCATAAGCATTGTTTTCATATTAATAACATGGAAACAGGGAATCTGTTGGCTTGAGTTTCCTTCAGGGGAAGCAGCTGTTTCTCTAGAGACTCAAGAGAAATGGGTCTCTCATGCACCCACCTTTGCTGCTCCCAGAACCCGAGGGGAAAAACAAAAGCRAATTTAGCCTCTTTATCCCCCTTCACCCAAGACATCTGCCTTGGCCTCTCCTCCCGCTTTGGCTTGGGGAGGTCTGTTCAGCACCAGCCAGCCCTGCTGCTCTGTGGTGAATCCTGTGACGTTTTTATGGGGTGTATTTGGGAACCGCTGCTACTGCTGGTTGTGCTAGGTGAGGGGCATGCAGGAGAAAAGCTGTGGGGCTTCTTGCTCACAAACCTTGCACCAACGTGGTCAATATGCACCGAGGTGTCAGGCAATTCATGTCCCTTGTCCTCAGCGTGGCCATGGGTGAATCAGCAGAGTTTTCCTCCAGCTGGGTGCTGGTGAAGAGAAGAGCTTGAGCAAAGGTGTGTGGCAGAAGGACTGGCCCTAGACTGTGCACCCCATGGCACAGTTGGGTCCTCCCACCCTGGCTAGTGCTCCCCTTTGACACCAGCTCTCTATTTCCAGGCTTATAATGATCAAAACCAGCGTTTGCCTGCAATAATAATCTCAGCCTGTGCCTTGTCTAAGTTCTGTTCCATTCCATGTGATTTTAATCACTTTTTCAAACAAAAACAAAACAAAAACCACWCAAAACCCAGCCTTTCCACAAGTGTTCTCCAGGGCAGATATTTTAGTCCAGCGAACTCTGATGTGAATTCTCTGCTGTCCTATTTTAGATTTTTTTCACAAGCTTTGGCACTGTTTGTAGACATACATGTTGGATTTGTCTTCGACTCATTTACAGTAACAGCAGTGAAAGGAGATAATGTTTCTCCAGGGAGAAAGAGGAAATGCCTCTGCTCCTTCCRCAGGCTGTGCTATCTCCATGCCTACAGCCTAACGAGACCCCAGCTGGCCGCAGCCCTTCCCTTCTACAGGATGAATGAGCATTGCTACAACCCTCTTCTGTGTTCACTCATGTATTCCTTCCGTCCTTCCGTCCGTCCTTCCTTCCTTCCTTCCCCAGTGCAATTGCTTGCTGCCATGAGTTGTTGCTCACTTTCCAACATTTGGGAAAATTGCTGGAGATGTGTGCATGGGGAACCGCCCCAGTGAGACCCTGCCTGTAYGGAACAGGCTGCCCAGGGAGGCTGTGGAGTCTCTTTCTCTGGAGGTCTTCAAAACCCGCCTGGATGCAATTGGGTGCCCCGTGCTCTGGGTGCACCTGCTGAAGCGGGGCGGGGAGTTGGACTAGATGATCTCTAGAGGTCCCTTCCAACCTTAAGGATTCTGTGATTCTGTGATAAGGCCGTCCAGGAGAGCRGGATGTGGGGTGGAGGTAGCACCTTGAAGTTCCCTGTGTGGTTCCCCTGACCACAGCGTACCAGCCCCAGGGAGGGAGGTCCCCGCAGCCCCTCTGTGACATGGTCTGGGGTCACAGTGGGACATTCCTGCATGGCAGTGATGGGTCCTGCCACCTCATGCATTCCATTGCTACCTGCTGCTCTTGGTGCTGATCTGCAAATGAGGCAGAGAAGCAAAGCAGCAGGGTCACGTTAGAGGGCCGTGTGGTGAAGCATGCAGGAGGAGGGCAGCAGAGGAGTCCTGCCTTCCCACTGCAGGAGTTAGACAGTGGAGCAAGGATGGAAGACCTGGGGCCTCAGATGTTTCCAACACTTAAGAAACTCTCCCTTCGTGGTAAGGGCTGTGGGAGCTACTTCACAAGGGCTGTCATAGGAATATTAAGTACAGAGAGAGCTGCAGAAACCCTGAGGCAGGGGTGGAGAGTTGGGTGGAGAGAACTGATGGTTGCAACAAGAGCCCTGACTGAGTGTCCTTTTAGCTCAGGGGTCAATTTGACAGTCCTGGGTGCTGATCCTAACTCTGCACCCCTTCCTAGAGAACTGGTTAGTTCCCCTGGCCCCGAGGGTTAACACTTGCCTGGGAGTGGGGCTTGTCCATCCTCAGCTCCTGCTTGTTTGGAAGAACTGGCACTGCTGAGCTGGCCAAGCAGAGCCTGTGTGTGCAGGGACCACGTTCAGGGATACCTGGTTCCTCTGGGGAGAACCTGGCGTTGCCCTGAGCCTCGGAGATTCCCACGGGGAGCACGGTACCATCTTCTTCCTGAGGGAAATCCATTGCYAGTCTCTCTGGGAGGTCACCCTCCAAGACTCTGAAAGGTCCTGTAGCTCCTGCTGAGCTGTAGAAAGACAGCCTGAAGTCATATGTTACTTTGGTTCAGCTTGACTGTTCTTATTCAGAAAGAAAGTCATTGCCCTAGTTTCTTTCCACTCTTCTTCTACATCCAGAATGGTAGAAGAAGTAGCAGAATCCCTTTGTCTGAGACACTTCCCACCTCTTCGTTTCCACCACTACCTCTCCTGGGGTGAGAAGAAAGCAAAGAGTCAACAGTCTAATTAGAGTTAGTTCAGTCTGGATGTGTTGTCTGTGTGGTTTGGACTATGTCAAATGCTGGTAAACCTGTGAACTTGGAGGATAACTTGTCTTCCACTTGCTTTTCAGATGTCATAAGGATTTGGGATACTGTGTCTGAATACATCCAGCAAATGCTCCTGATGAATCAGGTACTGCTTGTATCCTCTTCCTCCTCCATTTTTATGGTTTTAGTAGACCTGAAGCCCCTGTGCCATTGAGTGCACTTGTTCCCCTTTTGCTTTAGAGCAGATAAAACATCCTAGAAGTGCCTTGCAGTTGACAAATGGGCCACAGACCCACAGATTCTCCATAAATTGTGGATTGTTTGTTTTTTTAATAAAGTTCAGCTCTGGAAGAAAAAAGTATTTAATAGCTTTTGTGGCTTTTCATTTCCCACAGTCAGAATGGAATGACCAGAGAGCTTGGAATATTTTTCAAGATCTAGCCCAAGTGTTGCAAAACCCTCCTCTAGCTGAAGGATGATAGATCTGCTCCTGCTCCACCACATATCTTTTAGAGGCTGGAGAGAAAGGAAGGAAAAATGTCYGTCTCAAAGATTTTCAGAGTACTCTGGAAAATATTCTTATAGTTTCAATATCCACAAAATGCTCATTATTTGTTTCTTCTCCTTTCTGCCTTCAGGGTATCAGAATACCTGGATTTGGGACATTCTTGACCATTGAGCAACAAATACTGGATGTTGGATACAGTGTTGTGACTGTTGGGAGGCCAGTTTTTCAGATATCGGACGCTTTGGCAGATGTTTGTGGGCTCATTCCCGCTCAAGACYGTATTTCTGGTGAGAGGACAAATGAAAACCTTGAAATGAAATCCTCCGAGTTGCTGCGACTATGAAGTTAGGATATCTCTTTGCTTTGTTTTACTGCATGCCTCCCTACCATTCCCATTTATTCAGTGGAATGGTGACTGTTGTCTAATGGAAATGCCAGAGATGTTTCTTCTAAACCAATTGAGACAAAACTGATGATCCATGGTTAGGTTGCATCAGACCTTCTAAAGACCAGCACCACAGCTCACGCTTCTTCGTTGCATGTATTTGCCATTGCCTAGGTAATTCTCTTCAAAGCCTGACATGGACTGAGTTGTAGTGGTCCAGCACCTCCTACTTTTGCTGTCCACTTGACCCTTCAGTTCACAAGTGACCGTTGTTTAATGGGACTTTTTCCATTAGGAGACTTGAAAAGCTTCTAGGAGATTAAGGGATGGTTAAACAAGACAATTCTGTAGCAGAGTATTATTGCCTGAGGGCCTGGGAGCCTACTGAAACATTATTCTAGTCTGCTGAACAGCTGTATAAATTACTTTCTTACTCTTTTGTTCCCTTCTAGATAATAGGGCAATTGCTGAGCTGAATTATCTTTGGATAGCCACAGAGACTGATTTTCCTCTGAGGACTGTGAAGGATTGTGTAAAAGAGATTGCATTTTCATTCTGTTCTTGCCTAGCCAAAAGACACAATGCTAAGCTTGTTTTTCAAGACTTGGGCATCCTTGTTGTCCAAGGGAAGGAATTGCAAATGAGATTTTATCAAAATTTTCTTAAATCTCTGGATTGGACTGGGAAGCTGCTACAAGCTTTTCTCAGGGTAAGTAAATCATTTTTTCCAGTGTTACTAACAGTTATTTTGGATTCCAATCAAAGGACTATGGAACTGGTTTCTCTTGGCCTACCAAAAGCCTCCTGCTAGGAGCTTGTACAAGGCAGCCCTATGCAAATATTTATCTGTGGCCATTTTCAGCCTCATACCTGACCATTCCATGGAATGCCCATAAGTATTTATGTTATGAGATCTAGAAAGCGACTCCTCTTCACCTTTTCCTAAGCAGTTATCATTTAAGACCATTTGTCCAATCTTTGCTGGTCTCAGTCCTTTTTTCCCTGTGAGTTAGGAAGTCCAGGTSTGTTTAACTTCTCCCCACATGGAAGCTGGCCCAAGTATTTGATCACCTTTGTCATCTTGCTCTAATGTTCTCTAGGTCCCTTTTGCATGGGTCTCTCCAGGCTGTCCTTTCACTTCTCTTTCCCRGAGTGAGGTGATGCAATTCCCTCTACTTGTGAGAGCACGAAGCAGATTTAGGGTTAGGGCTTCTACCTGGAGCAGTAGAAACCTTTGCTCTTTTTGTGTACAAAATGTTGATTTTCTTGGAATCATCTCTCATGTCTCTGTTACTGTTGCAGGATCCAGAAACCAAGGATTTGGTTATTTCAGGCAAAGAAACAACACCTTGTTGGAGGCATTCGACTCTTCTCTTTGTGTTTCCGCAGTAAGTAGTTTGCTTTTCTCGTGCTTGGTAGCTGGAGGTAGCACTGCGGTGCCAGGCTTTATCCGCTTTGGAAGTTATTTCAGACTAACTTTTTTCAAGAGAATGGATCATGGTGAATTCTACGTCTTGTTCCTTGCATTTGAWTAATTTAGGATGTGTGTTTTCATGCTGAATGGTGACTGTGCTTTACATTTTTAATTTAAAATTGCAATTTAGGCCTGAGAGAATTTAGACAACATTTTCCATAAGGCTTCTCCTGAGTGTTCTCTTTCTTTTGGGTAAGATTGTAGAAGTATTTATATATTAGGAGGAGTCTAGTGTTTGTAAGTTGATTTTTAAAAGCAAAATATCTCTTAGAGGATGGAACAAACACTCTATGCCTACAAATCATGATGCGAGGGAGCGGGCCCCAACAAAATAATATGCCTGTGACACTGCCACCTCTTTTGGGAGATTCAAGTGCATAAATGGTATCCAAAATGAGCTGTTTCCCACGTCCAAGTGGTGGACAAAGAGATATTTATTGGAAAAGTGGAAGTCTGAGTCAAGAGGGCTTCTGCAGAGTTTTGCTGCGGGTTCAGTGCTACTGACTTGGTTCCACTAATGACAGAGGTGACAAAGATTTACACTTTACAGATACACTGAGATCAAAGTGGGACAATCTGCAAGGCACTTGGTAGATGAGCTTAGACTGCAGAAGGATGTTGGCAGGTTGCAGGAATGGAAGGTAGCCTGCTCTTCATAGATGTGAAGAGGACTAGAAACTGCGTGGAGGAGGATTTGTGTTAGACTTTCTCACAACAGAGACAGAGAGGCATTGGAGCAGACTGATGATGGAGACCCTTCTATCCCTCCAGCCCAAGTGCTCTTGGTTGTGTCTCTGAGTTTCCCATCAGAGTCCTCAAAGATTATTCATATTCTGCTGTGGAAAGCTATGGGCTTTCCTGAAGATCTCGATGACCAGATCAGGTCAAGGCAAGCTGAAATGTGGTACTTTCTTTAAATTATTGTTGTCCTTTTGTTCCCAGATATGCCCATGAGCTGGCACGAAGAAATCCAAACGCACATTTGGTTCCTGAATTCCTAAAATCCTTCCAGCAGAAGGCAGTGGAAAAAGAAGACAGGATGGCCTCCACAATAACTAGGGAACTGGACTATTTTGCATGCAAGGAGAGACAGAGAGAGCAGGGTTTGTATTGTCTCAGGAAGAGACAAATAAAGGCACTGAGGGGGATTTTATGGATGTTTTTAGCTATCTAATTGGAGGATATCAAGAAGACAGACACATCCTTCTTGGAGGTGCCCAGTGAAAGGGCACCGCAGGAACTGTCAAAGTGAGTCACTGTGGAAGATTCCAGGGCAAGCCAGTCCTCCAAACATCAGTTGGTTTTGCTGAAGGACATTTTACCCCTGAATTCTGTTTCCTGGCATATATTTGTTTGTTCAGACAGGAGTTGCACTTTAGGAAAATCCCTTGGCTCACTGAATAGCTAATTCTGCCTGGAGCTGTGGGCAATCAAGGGGTTGGCACGTCTCATGGAACCAATGTTCTTTTAATTGATTGGAAAAACTGACCTTGGAGAGGATGAAAAGGAGGCTCCTAAGCTGTGCCAAAAATTTGTTTTGTTTTGAAAGCTACGAATTCCAACTCAATTTTCTTAGCTACTCACAAATTAGAGGAGTTAAGGTGCCAAAAGAGCAAATTGGTATATGCTAGAGCAGGACATAGATCTCAAAATGGCTGCCCTCAAGGAAAGTTCTTCCCTCAATAGAGACCTTGCCAGGTGACCACCTCCTTCCAGCAAGTTCCAGAGCATGGAAGAGGTAAAGCAGAGGACGTGAATATATCAGGGACCAGTGTTGCCTTGAAGAGAGGAGGAGTTGGATGGGGTCCAGTGGGAGAAGGGGCCTAAGACCTCATGAAAAAACAAGGAATTGGGTGACAGCTCAGATAGTTTTATCACAGACTTGAGCAGATCTGCATGTCGTTCTTGGTTGAGGTGTTACAAAAGAGGTTATTTTCACAAAATTCTGAAGAATTTTCTTGTTTCCTGCTTCCAGGGAGCCYTCAGTTCCCGTTTTACCACAAGAAGCTGCCTCCCATTCCTGCAAGTGATGTGGAGCAGAAGGAAACTAAGGAGGAAAAAAACAAAAAGGGCTGCCTCTTCTTTCAGCGTAAGATCCCCCCCATCGCTCCAGTCCCTGTGGAGACCAAGGCCAAAGGAAAGCAGAGCGAGTGTGTGTACAGGTGAGGACGGGGGAGGTGGATCGGGGGGATGTGGAGCACTGTCACATCTAGGCGCGAGCCATTCCCTTTGGGCACAGTGTCCATCTCGAGTCTGAAGGGCTGTTAGCGCATGTTGCAGTGGCTCCTGTTTCCTTGAGGAATGTCTAGTGTGGAGAAGGGTTTTGTGAGACTCTCACACCAACTTCATTTTTATTGTGACTCTCTTTCCATGGTAAAGCTTTCTTTGGTGGCAAACTGGAAATTGCCATTCCAAGAATTTAGGATAGTTTTCTGTTGCTCTTTAGGTTAATATGAAGAGATTTTTTAAAAATTATTACTGTTTTTGAGAGAAAAATGCTCAGGACCTGTAACAATTTCATGAGAGAGGGAGAAGATGTCTAAAGGCTCTCTAATAGCTTCTGAAAGATGCTAGTGTTTGCCTGAGATTTATTCAGCTCTCTCGGTTGGCCCCTAAGGTCAACAAGAACTCACTGAGACATGATTAAGTGCRCAGGAGCTTTCTGTTTTAATGGGAAGAGGGAAGCTTTACAGGGGAAAGAGGAATTCAAAATGTTGTATCCAAAGAGACCAAGAAGCTCTATTTGCACTTTTTTTAAAAAAATTAACTGGAAGTCTTTATTTTACAATAAAACCTGCTTGTGTGGGGTCTCAGCTTCAGACACAAATGAAGTGCCAGAAACAGACAACTGCTGGGACAGCTGTTCTCAGGGGGTCATTTTCTCCCTCTTTCGCACTGTCCCCCCCCTTGGTGCTCCATTTTGCACCCCTTACGTGCCGTATTTCCTACCACCCCACAGTTGTTAATGCGGTTGCCAGGAGAYGATACTACCTCCAGGTATCTTTTACTGCAGATGACAGTTCATAGGGTGGTAGACGCGAGTGTCCCGAATGTCGCCAAGGCAATGCAGTGGCACTGCAGAGAGGCAGAGCYCAGGGCCACCCCTCTGTTTCTCTGGGGCACAGTCAGTAGGATACCCAGTTCTCCTCTGGAACTGGCTGCTGCAGAAGCAGGCAGCACCTGTGAGCCTGGCCTGGCCTGCTGTCTCCTCTGGTGTTCATACCAACTCATGCAGTGTGTATTTTCAGATTCCCACTGCCATGTTCGGGCAGCTCCTCGCAGCAGAAACCTCCTCGCTCCAGACCCCAGACTGCACACTCTGTTTGTGGTGGGCGTGTGGGAACAGGACAGATACACGATGTGGACTAACGCGAGTATCAYGAGATATTTAATTTCAAAAGAGCGTGGCTG